CGCCGTGGGCCGGCCCCCTCACCTCAGCTTGTCCTCGCTGAGGTGGTCGATGTTGAGCGGCTTGCGTCTCTCGGCCAGCACCTTCTTCTTCATCTCCCGGGCGGTCTGCTTCTTGCCTCGCTTCTGGTCAGCCTGGGGGACACGCCGAGGGGCCGGACTCAGGAGGGGAGCCCCCCTGGCCCGCCCTCTCTAGAAGCTCCCGGTCCTGGGCAGGGCCTGCCCTCTCCCAAGGGCGCTGCAGGGCTCTGGTCACTGGCTAAGACTGGGGACCCTCAGCAGCAGGAGGAGCAGGGGCCCTGGCGTGCCCGTGGGCCTGTGGTTGGGGGGCAAGAAGGGCACAGGCCTCACCGCCAGCCTGTTCTGGCGCTCCCTCTCCTTCTCAGCGCGGATCCTCTGCTGTTCCGCCCGCTCCGCACGGCGCTTCTCCTGCGGCCGGAGGAGTGGGTCAGCCCAGCCCGGCTGACCCTGGCCCCTCGGAAAGTGACCGCCGCCCGCCTCCTCCCGGACTGCCCACGCACGATTCTCTCCTTGAGCGCGATCAGCTCTTCTTCCTCCTTCTTGCGGGCCTCAAAGTGGCTGTCGATGAGGGCCTGCAGCTCCATGAGATCTTTGTTCTGCCGCTTCTTCTGGATGTCCTGTGGGCGAAGCAGCCGTCAGCCCCACCCTCCTCGCACCTCCGTCCTGCCCGGCCCCCCTGTGCTCCAGCAGAGCAGCCCTCACTCCTCCAGACACCACGAGAGCGGAACGCAGCAATGGATCCCCGAGTCACAGGGTAGGAACGGGACCCCCCACCCCCCAACCTGTGGATGAGTCCGGGCCCTGCACAGCTGTGAAGTCATCAGGACCCTGGGATGAACTAGCTCTGACAAGGCCCTGTCCCCATTCTGAGATGTCCGGCATGAGCCAGGCAGAGAGGAAACTGGTGAGCAAGATAATTTGTTGGAGGGACATATGGATGGTGGATGGATGGATGATAGATGGTGGATGGGTGGATGGGTGGATGGGTGGATGGATGGATAGATGGTGGATAGATGGATGGATGATGGATGGTGGATGGGTGGATGGATGGGTAGATGGATGGGTGGATGGATGGATGGATGGGTGGTGGATAGATGGATGGATGGGTGGTGGATGGATGGGTAGGTAGATGGATGGTGGATGGGTGGTGGGTGGATGGGTAGGTGAATAGATGGGTAGGTGGATAGATGGGTAGGTAGATGGATGGGTAGGTGGATGGATGGGTAGGTGGATGGGTGGTGGGTGGATGGGTAGGTAGATGGATGGGTAGGTGGATGGGTGGTGGGTGGATGGGTAGGTGGATAGATGGGTAGGTGAGTACATGGATTGGTGACTAGCTGAGTGGATGGGTGATGGGCAGAAGGACAGATGGAGAGCAGGGGAGAGAGATGTCATTAAGGGAGAGGTTCCCTCTGGTCCAGGAATGAATGAAAGGGAGGGCCAGCCTGGGGTCAGGAAGCCCTGGCTCTGGATAACTGAGAGATGACCTTGTCAGGCCTGTGGCCTGGGGTTGGGGATGGAGACGTGTTGATCCAGGTTCCACAAACTTACATCGAAGTCTACTTTCTCCCCTTCCGGGATCTTAGGAGCAGTGAGTCTGGAAAAGAGAGGGGTTCATGAGCAGGGACAAGTGGGGGCCCCCCCAGGAGAGCTGGCCTGGCCCCAGGCTGGCCCTCCCACCCTCTCACCCTGCCACCTGGCTGCGGGCACATTGCATGACCTCTGTCTTTTTTTTTTTTAAGTTTTTAAAATATGTTTTTATTGATTTTAGAGAGAGAGGAAGGAAGAGGGAGAGAGATAGAAACATGGATGGGAGAGCAACATCGATCGGCTGCCTCCTGCACGTCCCCCACTGGGGACCAGGCCTGCAACCTGGGCCTGTGCCCCGACGGGGAATCCAAACAGTGACCTTTTGGTCCAGGAGCTGACCCTCAACCAACAGAGCCTCGCCGGCCGGGCCCTGACCTTCGTCTTAACAGATGTATGACCCACTGTCCCCGGGGTGGCTCGACCCCCTGGAAAAGGTTTCAGCCTCTTAGTGTCCCTCTGGGTGGCCAACTCCTGTCCATCTCAAGGGCTTTTCCACCCCCGTCTGTCCAGGGGGACACCCTTGGTTTCTTCCTCAAACAAATAAACCGATGCCAGGAGGTCAGGCCAGAGGCAGGGTGGTCACCGCAGGCGCCGTGGGGGTCACGAGTCTCCGTGGCCTTTGCCTTTCTGTGGCCCCGCTTTCATCTTTCTTTCTGGGGACCCGGAGGGAGGGGGCTGGGCAGAGAGCAGTTTGAAGAAGAAGCGAGCCCCCCCGCCCCCCAACCCGGCGGCCGCCA